AAAAGACTCCTACTAGAGGAAACCATGGTACAGGGGAAAAAGAATCATCCAGGAGAGATATCCCTCATTTTTGGGAGGGGGAAGGGAGAGAATTTATTTTGTGTATACAGAAACTGGTTGAGTTTACATGATGCAGCTGATGGTTAAACCTGCCAACTAAATATGACTTACTGTTACAATTGAAACAAACTTATGTGATATTTTGTTAAATCTTGATGGTGCCCTGTGTCTAGTAAAAATTTGATCCCCCAAATTGTTTTATTTTCCCCGTGTTGTAATCGAGGGTCAGCTGCTATGCACAAAGTCTGTGTTTTGTAAAGTGTTTGCTGACTTGGATGTTTCTTTTGAATCTGCAACTGCTTCCTGATTAATTTGGCTAAGACCACCCCCAGTCTCTTGAGTTAACATTTAATCAGAGGTATGCTGTATGCAGTTTACAGATGCATTCTTAATGTTACAAGCTAAGTTGCAGGGGGAGCAAATTCTTTACAATAAGATGGTCCATTTTTAATCTGTGTCATTGCCCTTGTTGTACATCAGGAGCATGTTTTTGTTTTTCTCAAACTCTTTAGAAATACCGTTCAGAATAAATGTGCACTATTTGAGTTATGTCATTTATGACTTGTCATGTGCATTTTTTTGCAGTCCAGCTGTTTCTCTCTGAAATCAGGTACAGAATATTCCTCAGATCTTCAGTTACACGGTTCATGAAACATTTCTAACATGCACTGTGAGTTGGGCTGCTGTGATGACAACTGAGGAAAGTGGGAGTCTGTTTGTTTTCCTTGAAGTTATGAGCTTTTTCTCAAAAATCATCTGAATTGTGGGGTCAGGAGGGAAGAGAGGAACTGTCCTGGAATATTTTTGCATTGACTAGTGAGCAGTCTTGAAACAAACAGATGAGGCATCAAAAACTGTGGTTTGGGCTTTATATTTAAAATATAAAGCCCAAATAAATATATAAAAATATTTTAAATATTTTAAAGTATTGGAATTAATTGCTAGCTCTTGCAAATCTTAACAACCATCTTTGAAAAACTGTGGTCTGTACCTGTAAAAGTAACTGGTCTTACGATGCAGCGAGTATTCTTCCGTACTGACTTTTCTGAGAAAAAGATATTTAAGTAAAACTCTTCTCTTAACTATTCCAGTCTCTTCTGTTAAAGCCATTTTTGTCTTTAGTTTCTTCCTGTTCCTCTCCTGCTTTGAAGTACCATTTATGAAGTGATAAAGTTGCACTGTGGTACAGTTTCTGGGAAAAAAAATAAATGTTACCCTAAATATTCTATAGATTATTCTATCCACTCATTTAAGTTCTTCTGGAAAGTGCTTTATCAGTAGATGGAGTTGCTGCATCCATTAGGATAACATGTGAAAGCAAAGCTCACTCTGAAACTTGACTGTGGTCTTGAGCTGCTGCTACCAGCTGTCTTCCCTGACCTCTGCTGGAGGGCCTGGAAGGCACAGCTGGAGATGAACTGCTACCAGGAATGGCACCTCCATCACTGGCCCCACCAGCAGATGCAGAAGCTGGAAAACCTTTAGCCAACTTCAACTGCTGCAGCTGTCCTCCAAGCCATACAGCTTTTATTGATCTCTGTCACTGTTTCTTTCCTTCTCCATGCTCATCCCAGTCACACCGCCTGACAGCCTGTACAGTTTTAGGCAATTCAGTTCTCTTTACAGGGAAACTAGCAGATATCACTGATCTCCAAAGCTTAGCTGGTTCTACTAGTATCTTAAGATAAGCAGTTCCATTCCCCTCAACTGTATTCAAAACTTGGTTGTTTTATGAGGACCTTGTAATAACTTATGGTGTGCCATTATCTTTTAGTTACAACAGTTTGCTTTTTTGTTACTGAAAGGATTATTTAAAGAACAGTTACAATGCCAGGATCTAATGAGCGGTAAGTTCATTGACTTCACACAAAAAAAGGGGATTGTTGTTCTTTCCCCAGTGTGTACATCACCCTATTTACTAGTGTGAAAACTGATCTTTTATTCCATGCCCTGTGACTTCTGTCTTTTAATCAGTCCTCCATCCCTGTGAGGATACTGTCCTCTGATCCTGTAGTAGCCTAGATTACTTAGGAGCTTTGGAACAGGGATCTTTTATTTGAAGTCCTTCTGAATATCTACCAAACCAGTCTGTGAGCCAAGTGTTGTAATCAGTTTGTGACAACGTGGCTTTTTTTCCCCTGTAGGGGTTCTCCAGATCTGTTTAACTCATCTAGTCCAGATGCTTTGTATGGGACATGAGATTGTTGCTTATGTGCTTTTCTCTTGCCCATAAAGAGGCATCAGTCAAACCAGATGATGGCAAGGTCACCTTTTCCATATCTTTTTATCATTCCTTCCCCCCTACACGTCCTTTAGTTCAGTTTTACTACCATTTTGCCTAAGGGTTTTGTGGCAACACCAGCTCAAGCTCTCCAGGCTGCTGAGTTACCAGCTTTCTCTTTCACTCACTTGCATGTACGTGGCCTGTAGTTCAAGAAACTCCTACACCTGGGGAGAGATGCACTGACCTGGCTTCTGATCACTTTTCTAACAGCTGCTGTATCATATCATAAATACTTACACCATTACTGCTCACTAAATTATTGAATCCAAACCTGCAAGACAGTCAAGTATGATGCTCTCATGCAAAAAAAAAAAAAAAAAATGCACTCAAGTTGTTCTTAAGACTGTTTAAAATAAAGCTGCAGAAACTCTTCACCTGTCCCGCTAACAGCAAATCATCTCCTCTACTCAGTGTAAAGCTTTTCCAAATATTTGTGCAAAACTTTTTTTTTTTCCAGTCTATCTTGCCATTTAATTTCTAGTCTATATTCGCTGCCAGAAACAGGCTACTGATATTCAACAACTACCTGTTATATATGATTTCACCAGTGAATTTTTGCTACTGTATTTCCAGTATTTAACACTGTATGGGTAATCTGAAGATTTATGAGGTCAAACACTCCAGAGCACAGTAGGGTGGTAGAAAGTAAGCTTGGGTTTGCTGGTTTTGGACAGGGGGTGCCTTTTTAGTGACAATCTTCACTAAAAAAGCATGCTACCTTTGAAAAGGGGGAAGGGGGAAGTAACTCAGTTTATATTGGAATAAATTGACAGCACAGGTTTTTCAGATATTGTTTGTCCTCCAGTTTAGTTGTCATGTCAGAACTAAAAAATACGAAAACTGAAAAAGTGCGTTTACATTTATACATTACAAAGTTGCTATTTACAGTAACTGTAGAATTTCTCTGCAAAAATAGCTAGGGCTTTTAAATTTCTTCACAGCTGGCAAATGGGTCTTTCAGATAATGCCAGCTGCAAGATTATTCTGCAAGCAGCAGCTATTCAAAAGTAAATGGCTTTTTTTTGTTTGGTTTTGGTGGGGTTGTTTTGTTTTGTTTGGTTTTGGTGTTTTGTTTTTTGTTTTGGTTTTTTTTTTTTTTTTTTTTTTACATCTAATTGCTACTGTGACTCATTTCAGCAATAGAAAAGTTGTTGGACACTATTTCAGAAACTTGTCCCTGCTCTGTATTATATATTAGGAGATTGTATGGACACAAGATGCTGTCTGGGCAAAAAGGCACTTGCATCTTCTATAAAGCCTAAACATCACAGTTCTGCCTTTTCAGGTTGCCTCAGAGAGAAAAGGCTTTGCACCTCCACTATTACCTACAGGTGAGCAGAGACATGAAGTACTTGTAAAGTACTTTCTGGAACTCTTTTCAAATGCAACTGTTGCAGAACTTCTGTGGAAGGAAACTACTGAGGCTGGAAACAGGAAGGCAATGTTATTATGACTAGTAATTGAATTAGGTGTTAGCAGGAAATACAAACTCAGGTAGTGGGGAATTAAGATTCCCTATTTTAGCAGAAGAAACAACACTTCTTAAACTTTAATTAATGAGGAAGATGGATAAAGGGTCTTACTCCCTGGAACTAAATATAAGCATAGTGTGTCATAAAGTTTGCATTGAAACAACTGATTTTGTTAAAAGAATCAGTAACAGTGAATAACTAACACTCACAGACATTGTTTGGGCTCCTAATAAACAGCAAGCTGCTGGTTTATGATTTGGAAAATCTTCAGCCAGCTGCCTTTTTTCTAATCTCAATTCCTTTCCAGAACTGACTGCAGGGGAAGCAGGGCTGTATTTCAATGTATAAATGCTCCTCTCGATGAGGCCTGTTCAGACAAAACGGAGATCAGCTTCGTTTGGATGATTCTCAGCACCTGAGCAGCTCAATTCAACGTTCAGACGTTACCAACGGCCAGTTGGTACTTTTCTTTCTTACTTGTCACCTCAGTCGTGCTGCTGTTCTGACAGAAAAATATTTTATATCTGGGGAAAAAAAAAACCAAAACACAAACAAACAAACAAACAAACAAAAAAGATATATCTATCTACACGGGTTTTTTTTACCTGACGGCTCGGGGAGGGGGTGTGTGGGGGGGGTGCCCTCTGTGTTGTTCCGTCACTGAGGTTTATGGAGCTGCTAGAGCTTCAGCCGGGCGGCGGCGGGTCGGGCTGCGGCCCGGGGTAGGACCCCGCGGCGGGGGCTGCCAGCCGGTGCGGGGAGAGGCGGTTTAAACCGGCGCCGAGGTAACGGCGGCACGACACGGAGCACGGCAGCCGCCGCTTCCCCTTTAAGGATTTTTTTCCCCGCGCCTCCCTCCCCTCCGGTCTGCCCTTTCCGCTCTTCTCATTGGCCGACTGAGGTGCCGGTCTCCGGCAGTTCCTGTTTCGGCCACCTTAACTTGTTGACGGTTCGCACGCCAGTCTCCATCTCTCCGGCGCTTGATTGGGCGGTACCGCCAATGTTTCTGGTGCCGATTGGTCCGTGCCGGCCTCGCACCGCCCAGTTGCGGCGAGCAACGCCTTCCCGGTCCCGGCCTGCTTGATTGGCCTCGGGGGCTCAATCCGTGCGCTCGGATTGGCCATTCTGCGCCGAGCGTGCGAGCAGCAGGGTGGGCTGCGCGGGAGGGGCGGTGTGTGGGATTGGAGTGGAGGCAGCGGCGGAGCGCTTGGCACGGGGTGTCCGCTCGGAGGATGGTCCCCGCGGTGGGGCTGCCGCTGCTCAGCCCGCCCAGCCCCGCTGTGAGTGCCGGGCGCTGCCGCGGGGGTGGGCCCGCTGCCTGCGCTCCGAGCGGAGCCTGGGGAGCGGGAGCGGGGAGGAGGAGGAGGAGGAGGAGGGGCGGGCCGGGCCGGGCCGGGCCGGGGCGCAGCAGCGAGGCCGGGGGTGAGGGGGGCGCGGGCCGGGGCTGCCGGTGGTCCCGCGGCCGGCCCCTCCCTCCCCTCCCCCGCGGCGACCGTTGCCACCAGGAGGCAGTTGGCGGAGGGCGCCCGCCGCGCGCGCGGGGCTTCGGCCCTGTCGCCGTGGCGACGGCGGGGCCGCGCCCCCCCCCCCGCTTCCCCGCCATCACCGCCAGGAGCCGCCGCCGCCGCCGCCGCGGGGGGGCCGGGGGCCGCTCCCCGCCCGTTACGCCTTGGGACGCCGGTGGCGACTGCGCCGTGGGGGGCGGCCGGCGGCCCTTTGTCTGCCCGGGCCGCTCGGGTTGCCCAGGTGCGCCCGGCCCGGCCCGGCCCGGCCTCCCCGCGGGGGGCCTCGGGCCCCGCTCGGGTGGGGACTGCGGAGCCCGAACAGGCCGGAGCGGTGCAGCCCCTGCCCCGCGCCGCGGGGAGGCGGCGGGAGGGTGCGGGCGGCCCTTCTGTGGCGCGGGTGCTGCTGCGGGCACCGCCGTGGTGGCGGCGGCCGCCGGGCTTTTGCTCCGCAGAAGTTTTGCCGCTGCGGTTGCGAGCGTCGGCCTCCCCCCCTCCCCTGCCCCGCGTGGGTGAGGTCTCGGAGTGCTGGTGCGTGTGATTGGGGAAAGCGTAACGATGAGGGCACCCGGGTTTTGGAGGTTGGGGTGTTTTTATCCTTTTGAAATCTCGATGATCTGAGGCAATTGACCATAAATGGCTCTTCAGAAAGTTAGCTCTGGAGAGAACAAACCGTGGGCACGGCTTCTCAACCGTGACATCTTTTCAGCATAATCCAGGATAGGAAATGTGCTAAGCATCACCTCTGCGTGCTCTTGTTGTATGACATCTCAACCTGGAAGTTGGGCAGCTTCAGAGTACAGTGTAAAAGTTCAGCTTTTTTATTTAGAATTAGGTCCCTGGAAACTAACTTTTCCTGCTGTGTGTGTTTTCAGCTTGGTCTCCCAAGTAAAAAGGCTTATGGATGCACTCTGTCTGTTCCTTCTCCACCTAGTAATTTTAGCTCTCCTGACGATTTCAATCAAATTTGCCAGCGACAGAGGTCTTAAAGAGATTGAAGCCTTTGAGTTTCATGGAAATCACCATTTGGCAACTGCAGAAGTTCACGGTTATTGCTCACACTAAGGGCAGGGCACCTAGAATCCAGCGCCTTGTGACAGACAGCACGGGTGAACTGATCAGCATACACACCCAGCTGAACACCGCTGCACCACACAATGCCGTTTGTCCAGGGAAGTTTGTAGGGAGAAGGTGGAAGTAAGGTGAAAAAGAAGAGAATAGTGGTGTGTTGAGTCACTGGCAATAAGTACATAGAAAATCTTTATTTTTGCTTTTCACATTGTAGCTTGGCCTTCTGTCAGACTCCACCCAGACATACGATGATTATTAAATACCTTTAACAAAAATAATGTAGCGATTGCACAGTTAAGCATTCAGAGCTCAGGTAGTGTAGTAGCTTGGTGTGGAAGCATGGTTTTAGCTTTGCTTTTTAATATACAATGCACTGGGACGATCTTATTTATGTGATTGCGTTACATAGCACTTAAACTGCAGAGTATCATTTGTCACTCGTGAATTGTATGCAGTTATCAGACAAATAAGAAGGAAGAAACTTCCTGGGGGAAACAGTTATAAGGATTTAGAATTTTTAATTTTTACTTCCAATTAGTGTGATGATAATAATAATTCATAGATACATTTTGGGGTGAAATAGATCTGACAACTGAAAATACTTTTGTCACTGAATGGGAAATAAGCTTAGAAAATGCTCATGTTGTGATCATGATTTTAAGATGCATATATTTTAAATAACATCAGGTATGTGAAGCAGTACGCAAATGTTGCAAACTTTGAAGTATTTGGATATTACTTATTCCCTTAGGTTATGGATAAATGGGAAGATTTTAATGGAGTAGATGAAAAATGGTGGTGGATTGTGGGGGAGTCTGAGAACTTCAAATTGAGGATTAGGATGTAAGTGCTTGATGGCGGCTTTGCTGCTTTGATTCCTGGTTTTCTAAGCAGTGTTCCCAGGAGCTGACCGGGGACAGACTGAAGTGACTGTCACTCAAGTGGCACTGTGATGTGTGCCTGGCATGTGCCTGCCGTGTGCATTGCAGACTGCCTTTGTAGCTGAAGTTTAGTCATAGTCTGAAATTCTAAAGACATCTGATGAACAAGAAGGCAAAAATGCCGTGTACGTGTTCTCCTGACATTGCTGTCTGACCTACCCCAGCTGCTTTTCACCTTGTCTCTTCTTGGGTGAACGTAGAGTACGCCTCCGACTTTTTTAAAGGGAGGAATTAAAGAGCTACTTTTATGTGGGTTGTTTTGTTGTTGGTGGTGTTTTTTTCTCCCCTGTATGCTGAAATCAAATGAGCACCTCCAGCTTCCAGATACTGAAGTATAATGAATTAGGCAACAAATATATTTGGAATGGTGCCGTTCCAAATATTCAAGCATGCTTTTAATTTGCAAAGTGGGTTGGCATAAGTTGTGTGACTTTGTAACCAAGTGTATCCAGCTTGGTTGTGAAGTAATACAATGTATGGGTTGAAGAAAAAAAATAAATAGGTAAGGAAGTCAAGGGCTGGGACGTGCTGGATTTGACAGGAACCATTCTGTTTTAAGTTTTATACAGTAATGCTGGTGTTTTTGTAATAAGTCTTTGGATTCAAGATGGTCTTAAAAATAACTTTGCAAATAACATGTGACTGAGGGAAGGTATAAGTAGCGTAGCACTTGATATGAAGGTATTCTCAATGAATCATAGTTGTTTGCATCGTAAGAACTTGTAAAAAATATCATGAGGTCTATGCCACTTTGAAGGATAGTGAGTAAATGTCACAGCACAGTGTTTCAGCTGAGACAGTTTTCAGTCTTGTTGAATCAATATTGAGTATTGTCCCTGATTATCAAAACTCCAGCGGAGATGTATGGTTAGCTGTGTGTACAAACTATGTTTTAAAATGAAAACAGATATGTAAAATGTGTGCGTGCATAGCATCTGACAGCTGTAATGCTCCTAATCATTTTGTAACGGGCCAGTTATCATTCTCACACTTCTGAAGCAGCATTATACTTGTCTTCAGCCTGAAGGACTGCTCGCCCTTAGTACTACCAGTCACTTTATAACTTAGTTCCTGTTCTAGCATTCTTCATCTCTGTCATGTTTGTGACTCCTTTATTGAAGTTAAGTCCCTCAGAAACACGTTTTCCTATTCTGAAGGGTATCAATCATAATGTGAATGGTGTGTGTGTGTGTGTGTGTGTGTTCTGGAAAGTCGAGTGAAAATATCTCAGATTGAATGGTTGAGCAGTAGGGCTTCCTTTGTTTCAGATTGACGTAAAACATGTAAAGGTCACAACTGCCTGATTAAGAAACGTTGTGCAGTGTCCAGTTTATATAGTGCTAACCTAACTTGCTTGTTAAAATACAATTCCAGCTTTTATATGTGCATATTGTGTGTCCAAAGTATACTTTGGTTTGACCTTACCAGTGCTGCACTCTTGCCATGCTCTGAATAAGCATGAAAGTGGTGTGTGCACAGGATCAACAAATTGTGTGTAAACTAAGTTTCTTTCCTGTATGAAAAGCTGTGGCATTAGTCTCTTAAGGTGAATGAGTGAGTTTTGCAACCATGACATAAGATAGCAGTCTCTTAACATCAGCCACGCTGTGTGCCACTGTGATTCAGATAAGAAAGTAGTAGACTGTTAAAAATGTTTCAGGCTTCCTGTTAACAAGTGCCTTTCTCACCCAGTTACCTGAACTTCTGTCAGGTTAATTGACTGAGATGAAGGCCATGAAGTGAGAGCAATGCCATCTAAAAGCACATCTCAATTATGCCAGTACTCTGATACCAAAATGGGTTCTTTGTGGTCCATCTCTAGTGCGGCTGGACTGATCGGAGTATGGATCCATTAACTTTTAGGTCTAAACGTAGGTTTCTCAGGTCTTGTGATCTGAAAGTCATTGATGTGGTAAGCAGTGCCAAGAGAAAATTATTTGTTATTTAGGCTGCTGACACTATTAAAAGTAGTGTGGAGGTGTTATGGGAAGAAGAGAGCTTAACTTTCTAAAGCTTTGTTTCTCCTTCATGTATCTGAAGTTTAAAGTGAAAATAATGTCCATTTGGGGTGTCTGCCTGCATCTGTAGTCTGTAATGAGTGGTTGGCTTAAGGGACGCTTAATTCATGCCAGCCTTCAACCTTTGAAGTTGGATTCTGCTTTGCTTTCATGCATCAGTGAAGTTGTTACCTAGAAATGGAACACAAATCTTGGATGGGGTGGAAATTGACTTTTGCTCTGTACTACAGGTCTTCTTACTCATTTACTACAATAATGAGTAAGTGCCAAATAATGGTGCTAGTCTAACACTGAGCAACTCCAAATCAGCAACAAGAGAAGGAACACCATTTCATTTTTTTTACTACTAGAGGATCTGTAATATTCAGAGGTGCTGTTTAAATATTAGTTATCTATAATTCAAGTGCTTGGTTCTTCTATGTAAGTCTCTCACTTGTAAATTCTCAGACTTCCTGTGTGATTGGAGAAGTTTAACTAGTTTTGACATCATATTGGGTCATAGTTCCATAAGCATTAAACCAGTGCTGCCACCCCAAGAAGCACTCCTGTACCAACAAAAGCAGTTTCAGTGTACTTGTTTGGGAGTGGGGGGGGTGTCTTTGCAATTCTTTTGCAGAGTAAATTTTCAGTTGAAGTAACGTTCTTGTCTGGCTTCCTGTGTGAGTGCCAGTGAAGTGAGGGAGAGGCTACATTTCTCGGCATTATTCTGGAGCAGGTAGAACAGTAGGGAAAGGTAACCATCTTATAG